TGGGAATATATTTTGCAGTGTGTTCACATACAGTGTTTTTGAAGAATTCCCATTTCCGTTCTGTGTTCATCAATGCCAATATTCCCTCCTAGTCTATTCTTGGAGAGCAGCTCTCAGCCTTGGAAAATTTGCTCCTTTAAAGTTGAGTGGTTTTATCTTTCCGGTATGTGTTTGTTGTTTACAGCTAACATTAAATAATTTGTGTTATGGTCACTGCTACCCAGATGTTCTTTTACAGTATATGAAAATTAGTAATAAGCTCTGCATGGTTTGAGATTACCAGGTCCACCAGAGCATCATTCATAGTCAGAGCCTCCTCACTGCATTTGATTGACAACAGCAGGAGCCAATGGCTCCTGCTGCTGTTTGAGTCCCTGTGTGAAGAGGAAAAGAGGGGAGAAGAGATGCAGCCATGCACAGCACTAGATCATTTCTCCCCTCTCTTCCCTTTCACACAGAGAAGGAGAAGTACAAACGAATAGAAAAAGTTTTTTACCTTAAAGTGTTACTAAACCCACAACAGTAAACTCAGTCTGTATATGCAGTAAAGCATGCTTGTTATACTCACTGTGGAACTTAAGGGTTTAATCCTCTGCATTGTGTACAAAGGATGCCTGATCCTGTCTACTCAGATCCTCCCCTTCTTCCACATTCCCCGTTTCATCTTTTGATAGAACACAGCCTCAGGGACACTCTGCACATGCTCAGTTAGGTGTGCACTGCTAAAGAGTTTTTTCTTTTTCTTGGGCGGGTGCATGTGACCACCACAGGGCCAATCAACACTGTCCAGACAGAGGGTCAGGGGTTATGCAATTTCATAGGACAGTCAGAGGAGAATGAAAACTCCTCCTACAAACTTTAACCAGTGCTCAGCTGGACACTAATAGAAGTCACAAGACTGCTCTAACTGCTAATGAGAAAAGGTATTTAGCAGTTTATATTTACTAAAATAATTGCATTTCCATATTCTGTGTACTGTGGGAGAGCAGATATAGTGAAAGCAGGGACATGGATTTAGTAACACTTTAATGCAAGGAATGCATTAAGGTAAACAATGTTTTTAGCTTTAGTATCACTTTAACATCCCAAGTATCCCTTCTGATGTGCAAACTTCTAGCTCACATACTTCTACACAACTTGAAAAGCCGAGATAACACAAACAGATGCCAACAATTCAATGCTAGAAAAAAAAAGCATCACATTTCTTCAAAGCCTGGAACTCCACTGTATCTAACTCTGGGGACTGCACTGAATATAAGGTACAGCCATCAGCTTTGATTTACCAGTCTGCAGGAAAGAGTAAGAAGAAACACAGGATACATTCTTTTGCAATACATAACACTGTAGCAAGCCTATCTCTCCTTTCCATGTGTTTATATGCCTTGATTTAGAGCTGCAAGCTGTTGGGTATGGCTTAGCCAGGCATAAGGAACAATATTACTTGTAATGTGCATGTATATTTTTGTTTTATGTTTTGGACGGGGCAGGGAAGGGATAAAACCCCTGTCAGGTTACTTTTTGTACTCTGTGTATCATTATGATGATTTCCCTTCATCTCTTGTGCTGGAGAGGAAATTTCCCATAGTGAGAGGATTTCCTTCTTAGACAGTTGTCACAGGAACAGATGTTCCCATTAGAAGATTTCCTCCCGCCTCTTGTTCCAATGAAACTCTAATGTTTTGGATTTCCCCTAAGTTTCTGTCCCAGAGACAATTATCCCTGTAATAAACATCAGAGTAAATAGAGAGGAAACTCTCTTCAACGGGATGAAGGCAGCAATAAAAAATTGACAAAAGACATCTTCTATACTCCAAAAAAAGTTTTGCATTTAGATACATATTAACCATGTTATCTTCATGACAGAATTGCATTTTTTGTACTGTCCCTCCATGGCAATCAAAGACACAAGTGGACAAATGTTTAGCAACATTTCATAAGTGTGCCAAGTTTAATGCATGGCAAAGAAACTCCCAGAACCCTGTGCAAGGAGCTCAATCCACTTTTCCAGACATGCTGCAAAGGGTAAAAGTGAGAAGGGGGTTCTTCAGTTAGCACCAGTCTGGGTAAAGCCTTCTAAAACCCACATAAATGTTAGGTATACTCTCTAGAATCTGCAGAATTGAGAAGGTTAAACTACAAGACTGACAACCCAAAGCTGACCCAAATTTCACTATTAACCATGCCCAAATTCCTTAAAGCCCAACTCCAGAGAAATTCAAATATCCACCCTTGCAAAGGCCTCCTGCCCATTCTGTGCAGTGCAAGGGTTAAATGCGTGTTATGTCTAGGGGACAATAGAAAAGACTCTATCATTTAACTTGCATCTCGCTTCCTCTGGCTATCCTTCTCTGCCCAAAGCGTTAGTCTGTGGCCAGAGCCTTCGTGTCATCAAGTACCATCTATGGTCATTAACTTAGGAGGCTGGAGTGCAACTGGAGTGGGTTGTAGTTGACAAAGCAGGCTGCAGAGGACAGGTCACATTGCTGGAGAGTCCCTGCTGGAGTGAGGAGTAAAGTAAGTATTTATTCCTTAATCCTTTAGCCCTAGACTAAACAAGCATTTAAGCCAGGGGTGCTTAACCTTTTCAAGAGCATGGACCTCTTAAGGGATTTGGTAGCCAGGCATGGGCCATAGTGAAATGAAATGGTTCAGAATTTAGAATTCTTTATTTTAAATAGCATAATGAATATTTTAAAACAACAGTCAGGATCATCATTTTCCATTGGACCAATCTCCGTTGGAGGTTTATCCATTGTTTAATCACAAAAATATTTTTTTTTTACCAGATTACCATTAATCCCACTCTCAGATGCTGGGATTATGGAGGACCAGCAATCATTCAGTAAAGTGGTGTGCGCCCAAAAGGGGGCTGTGCGGGTTGCTATAAGTTTGAGGTCGCAGACCACATTTGCCGCGTGTTCCACAGGTTGAGCATGCCTAATTTAAGCTTTGCAGTGCAGGGTGGGGGGCAATGCAAGGGTTGATTTTTTAGTTCTCTTGGAGTTGGGTACCCAAAGACATAATTTGATAGTTACCTGTCCAGATAGGTTTTGTGGTAGAAGCCTTCAAACCTGCTAGTCATTATTATGGAGATTTTTTAGTAATCAAAAAGGTTAGATAATCTATCATGACTACCACTGTCTCCATCAATAAGACAGCACCACCTTCCTAGCTCAATCAGCTTTTTCCTACTGTCTCCATAGACATAACCTTGTATGGTGAGTAGAGAATATAAAATATGGAAAAAAGTGAGCGCACTCCAGTGAGCGACAAGTGCACAAAAAAGGAACTACAAGCCCTTCCAACCAAAATAAAACAATATAAGTGCAGCGCTACAAACAATATTCAAATGACAAAAAATATAAACGATTGTCAGATATAGGAATGTTGAAGATGATAAAAACAGTTCAGTGAAGGGGGAATCACAGGGCATATAGGTGTAATCCAATCCCAGGAATAGATAAATTGCCTGCTTACCAGAAGCGCAATTTAAATGCGCATGTACAGATTACATGTAGCCGGAATCCCATGTAGGCGCTGCTTTCTAGTACCCAGATGGTCCGTCGGTGGTGGAACGATGCTGGCCTGGTCGGAACACACTGCACCTTGGATCCACACAGAGAGCCTAAAAATTGCTGGGGCTGAGGTATGGGAACTCAGTACCAGGTGCAAGGAGTAAAAATACTCATAGTGTAGTATGTTTTAAAATTATTTATTCAAAACGTAAAGCCATATAAATTTACAAAACGCATGCCTGCAGCCTGTAGCCAGTAAATGCAGCTTCAAAAAAAGATGATCCTATACACTGACCAGTAAAAACCATGGATGGGCCGCCGGACCTCCTGACCCGGTGGCGTAACGTCAAGGCGTGCAAAGGCTCCTCCTAGACGCGTTTTGTGTCAATACACGTCCACTGTAGGGGTGATGCCATCACCCCTACAGTGGACGTGTATTGACACGAAACGTGTCTAGGAGGAGCCTTTGCACGCCTTGACGTTACGCCGCCGGGTCAGGAGGTCCGGCGGCCCATCCATGGTTTTTACTGGTCAGTGTATAGGATCATCATCTTTTTTTTGAAGCTGCATTTACTGGCTACAGGCTGCAGGCATGCGTTTTGTAAATTTATATGGCTTTACGTTTTGAATAAATAATTTTAAAACATACTACACTATGAGTATTTTTACTCCTTGCACCTGGTACTGAGTTCCCATACCTCAGCCCCAGCAATTTTTAGGCTCTCTGTGTGGATCCAAGGTGCAGTGTGTTTCGACCAGGCCAGCATCGTTCCACCACCGACGGACCATCTGGGTACTAGAAAGCAGCGCCTACATGGGATTCCGGCTACATGTAATCTGTACATGCGCATTTAAATTGCGCTTCTGGTAAGCAGGCAATTTATCTATTCCTGGGATTGGATTACACCTATATGCCCTGTGATTCCCCCTTCACTGAACTGTTTATCATCTTCAACATTCCTATATCTGACAATCGTTTATATTTTTTGTCATTTGAATATTGTTTGTAGCGCTGCACTTATATTGTTTTATTTTTGGTGAGTAGAGAATGCTTACAGGTTACTGGAGACTACTAGTCTTATAAGATTTGGTGATGACATTACTGTGGTTGTTTTTGTTCTTCTTGCTTACAGACAAGTATATTTCTGGTTTATTAGGCATTTAGATCTGTGTTTTCTCTGCTTCCTCTGTTGCTTCTTACATTTTCCCCCACCAGTCATCAGATCACCATTCATCAGTTTGGCAGCTCTGATATGAGGAAGAACATTCTTGAAAAGAAAGACAGCTGACACCACACAGAGGCATGTAACAAGGCATAGGCAATAATGGGAAAAAGATGAGCTGCAGGGAGACCACGGGCAATAATTGTGACTAGTCCTCTGTATCCTGCTTGCCTTTTTTTCCAGGCACATAATTCACAGTACTGGTAGTCTTCAACAAAAGAAAATCACAGTACTTACTACAAAGACACTGGCATAAATGTACCTTCATATGTTCGGTTCCACATCCGATGAACCAGTTTATCTCCATCTTTTTTGCTGAAACCACTCTTCAATAGTTCATGTAATGCTATGGCATATAGGATAATAGCATCATGGAATCCTTCCACAAACATATTGACCTGAAATAGAACAAGGTAAGATGTGAAGTGTATACTGAGCTGATTACTATATGGCACACATTCAGTGCAAAGAGTGTAAAAAAACAACACACCTTCATGCAGGGTGGTAGTATACATAAACTGATAGGTGATGCACAGAGATGAAACAAATGCTCCTACACAAGTTGTATCTGTTTATCTAAAGCCACCGCTTCTCTACAGCTGTTCAAGGTGCTGAATTTACAAAGCTTGTCTGAGGTTTCAGAAAAAAGGGGTTGGAGAGCTGAAATTACACACTGCATATTTCAGTCAGGAGAGCTCTGAGAGCTGTTTGGAGGGATAAGACGCATCCTCCTTCACACAGCTCACAGGAACAGAGCTGAGGCTGTCAATCTGCTGGAGATCCCTCCCCGTCACCATTTTTCTCTTGGTGTCAGGAAAACTTGTCAGAATTGATTCATGCTGATAGCAGAGGAACACAGCAGGCAGAAATGACACTTAGCGCCCTGGATTGAGAAAAAGAACACACTATAGAAGGATATGCTTTATTCATATTTTATGTCTGAGGTTTGCAACCACTTTAAAGTAAACCTGTCTTGAGTGAAATATTGAGGCTATCATTGTTGATTTTCCTTCTTTGATAGTGCTGTTAACCTAGACCACTGGCCTCAGTACTTTCTAAGTCAATGGCTTGGAACTAATATGCAGATCAGGAAAAAGTCAGAAATTCGTATTTACATGCTTGTTCTGGGTCAGTACATTGAAACACTGAGATAAGCAAGTCAGGATTGCAGGTAGGTAACTATCATTTCCAGAAAGGAAGATCAGCAAATGGCAAGCTCCATGTTTCTCCCATTCAGGGCCAGGACAAGATCCTTGGTGGAGGCAAGGAGAACAGCAAACAGTACAGTTTTGAATGTGAGTTTTGCTGTTAATAGCGCAACTTCTGGTGTGATGTAAAACCTAGTAATCCACTTGAGTCTAAACTCTGAATGGTCTAAATAGCACTGCCAAGTTTGAAAGTTCAAAGATTCAATAAGTAAATAAAGCCAAACACAATTCCCAGTTTCCTGACTTTGATCATAAAAATAAATACTATACTAATAAGTGTACTGCAAATGGCGGCGATCTTAAAGTGGTAGTAAAGTCATTTTTCATGTTTTACCTACAGGAAAGCCTTATTAAGCCTTATCAATGGCGTGCTGTCCATTGAGAGAGCCATGCCATGGCCTGAGACATCACTGTGGCTCGGCCAATCAAATGGTCACAGCCTGGAAACCCCGAAGGAAGACTGGGTGAAGATGGAAGCCCCGGGGAGCTGTGACGGTGCTCCTCTGGAGGGCTTCGTTTTCAGGTAAGTCTTTTATAATGGGCTAGTATGTGAGGCATACTAGCGATTTTTTTCCTTTGAGGTTTACTACCACTTTAAGTCTCATTCTTGCAAAGTGGCTATAGTAACAGTCTGATAACTGGACAAACTTGTTTTACCTTTCCACATGGCTGGTCCCTGTATGGGTCCAGGGTTTACCCGTCACAATGGGCATACCCCGGAAGGGTCTTTAGGATTTGGGAACCATAGGAATGGACTATGATTCTCGATCTGTAGAGCACCCTACACACATTTCACTAAGTACCGTGTTGAGAGCCCAAGCAGGATCCAGTGTCCAAAGCAACATTACAGGCTGTCCCCATAGTGTGGGGTCCTGGGTAAAGTTCCCAAGGTTTTACCGAGGTTGCACAGATTTAGATGCACTGCTTCTCTTGTAGTAGCAGAAGGCAGTGAGGAGGGTGATTGAAGAGTTGATTTAAAAATTCCAAGTAAATAAGAACCTCTTAAGCATAGAAGGAAGAGAGGTATATCACCAATGGGACACTAGTAAAAAACTGAAATCTTAGGGTACGCTAAAGGGGGCATGTCCAAAAGCTTTGCTAGTGTCCAATAACCTGAAGGTAGCATCCTATAACCCAGAGTCTACGAATATCCAGCTTGTGTCCTGTGCGGTACCATTAAAATGTTTACTTTTAAACTGACTCAGAGATCACAACCACTCTCACAACTACCACAAATCACAACTACTGAAATAATCAGATGTTTATCCTAACATTTATCTTGCTTCCACATTGGCTATACCCCTACAGTTGGATTCTCTATCTTCTGAATCACTCTGAGCCTGTAAAAAGTTAGGTCAGGTGTTCCCAGGTTCTGTAGCACCTGAGAAGAGCAATTTGTGTGCAACTTGAAGCTTCAGCCCAAAGCGTAATCTTCATTATTGTAATGTACTCCACATTTAGTGACATTAAGCAATGGTAACGTAACAGTGGTCAGTCCAGAAATCTGCAGTTTGGGTTGGGTAAGAAAATTCTGTTATCTCATTCTGAGATATGTTTGTTTTATCATTGCTCCCGCTCCACCACTGCTGATTCTGGATGCTGTTCAAAATACCATCCCCAGACCAAAACCCTAACAAACCTATCTAGTCTATGTTGGCTGCTGAGCTCAGCTAGGGGAATGCTTCCATATCCTACAGATACTGTATTTAAAATAAGCCGATAGGAGAATAAGCAACATGTCAAATCCTAAACAACACAGAGGAACAAGAGGACAATGAAAAAGAACATTTTAAGGCTACATGTACACTAAGCTCCCTTTGATGCCAAGCTCTCCTAGTTGCTGAAAAACGCAGCAAAAAAGAGTGTATATGCGGTACCAAGATTAGTGCTTAGGCGTTTATTGATTTCATTGGCCAGAGTACTTGCCATTGAAATGAATAAACGCCCAGGTGATAAATGCAGCTAGGCACGTTTACATGTGTTTTTGTGGCATTTCGTGTTTTTTTTTGCTAAAACGTTCCTCTCCTGAGCGCGATTCTTCTGCGTTCAGGATAGGGACGTTTAACTGCCCTTAAACACTGCTGCTGTTAAACTCTGATAAAAGCCTATTTGTGCATGGACACGTAGGCTTTTATTGAGTTGAACATATAGAAACGTGAATAGGTAGGCGCTAGAACAACCGCGCATCAAAAAATTAGAACAAGTCAACTCTCAACAACATTTAACAAATATTGGTCCTATACCAAATATAATGATATAAGACTCTCCACAACATCTAACAAATAGTATTCATCTAACAAATGATATTCCTATATCAGACATAATAAATCAGACGTAATAAATAAGTGAATACAATATACAGTCAGGTCCATAAATATTGGGACATCGACACATTTCTAACATTTTTGGCTCTATACACCACCACAATGGATTTGAAATGAAACAAACAAGATGTGCTTTAACTGCAGACTGTCAGCTTTAATTTGAGGGTATTTACATCCAAATCAGGTGAACGGTGTAGGAATTACAACAGTTTGCATATGTGCCTCCCACTTGTGAAGGGACCAAAAGTAATGGGACAATTGGCTTCTCAGCTGTTCCACGGTCAGGTGTGTGTTATTCCCTCATTATCCCAATTACAATGAGCAGATAAAAGGTCCAGAGTTCATTTCAAGTGTGCTATTTGCATTTGGAATCTGTTGCTGTCAACTCTCAAGATGAGATCCAAAGAGCTGTCATTATCAGTGAAGCAAGCCATCATTAGTCTGAAAAAACAAAACAAACCCATCAGAGAGATAGCAAAAACATTAGGTGTGGCCAAAACAACAGTTTGGAACATTCTTAAAAAGAAGGAACGCACCGGTGAGCTCAGCAACACCAAAAGACCAGGAAGACCACGGAAAACAACTGTGGTGGATGACCAAAGAATTCTTTCCCTGGTGAAGAAAACACCCTTCACAACAGTTGGCCAGATCAAGAACACTCTCCAGGAGGTAGGTGTATGTGTGTCAAAGTCAACAATTAAGAGAAGATTTCACCAGAGTGAATACAGAGGGTTCACCACAAGATGGAAACCATTGGTGAGCCTCAAAAACAGGAAGGCCAGATTAGAGTTTGCCAAACGACATCTAAAAAAGCCTTCACAGTTCTGGAACAACATCCTATGGACAGATGAGACCAAGATCAACTTGTACCAGAGTGATGGGAAGAGAAGAGTATGGAGAAGGAAAGGAACTGCTCATGATCCTAAGCATACCACCTCATCAGTGAAGCATGGTGGTGGTAGTGTCATGGCGTGGGCATGTATGGTTGCCAATGGAACTGCTTCTCTTGTATTTATTGATGATGTGACTGCTGACAAAAGCAGCAGGATGAATTCTGAAGTGTTTCAGGCAATATTATCTGCTCATATTCAGCCAAATGCTTCACAACTCATTGGACGCCGCTTCACAGTGCAGATGGACAATGACCCAAAGCATACTGCAAAAGCAACCAAAGAGTTTTTTAAGGGAAAGAAGTGGAATGTTATGCAATGGCCAAGTCAATCACCTGACCTGAATCCAATTGAGCATGCATTTCACTTGCTGAAGACAAAACTGAAGGGAAAATGCCCCAAGAAAAAGCAGGAACTGAAGACAGTTGCAGTAGAGGCCTGGCAGAGCATCACCAGGGATGAAACCCAGCGTCTGGTGATGTCTATGCGTTCCAGACTTCAGGCTCTACTTGACTGCAAAGGATTTGCAACCAAGTATTAAAAAGTGAAAGTTTGATTTATGATTATTCTGTCCCATTACTTTTGGTCCCTTAACAAGTGGGAGGCACATATGCAAACTGATGTAATTTCTACGCCGGTCACCTGATTTGGATGTAAATACCCTCAAATTAAAGCTTACAGTCTGCAGTTAAAGCACATCTTGTTTGTTTAATTTCAAATCCATTGTGGTGGTGTATAGAGTCAAAAATGTTAGAATTGTGTCAATGTCCCAATATTTATGGACCTGACTGTATATAGTGACAGTCTCATGAAGATGTAATTCCGTAGACCAAATAATGTGCGCTTTCACCACACGCAGGCGAATAAGTGAATTTCTCACTCACCAGAAACAATACCTTAGTTCACAGGGCTATGGGCCAATACCCCATTTTTCTTGATATTCAGACGCTATGTCTGACTGCCCAAAGACCTCCTGTTGG